ACTGACTACAATTTCTTAGATCCAAGCAAATCGTATGCATGCTTCCTAATATTTGCCAACTGCCTTTTGCTTTGCCCTCTACCTTCTATGACGCCCATGCATTCAATCAAAACATTTCTGGAGAGTTCAGAAGTTTGAGCATGGAAGCCCTACTTTTCGCTTCGTTGCTGAGGTAACAAATACGGAGATAGGGGAAGCGCGAAAATAGCCATGACGTATAGCCTTCCATGCAATCCTTGGGAAAGGTACAAAATGGGAAGGGTAAAGATACCGTCTAGTGCTAATTTTAATGAAACGACCTATGTTTTTCGTAAAATCCATTACCGTGATTTAAATACAGAAAAGGCAGCACAGGACAGTCTTGAGCACAATACCGATTATATTTTGACAAAGTTTGATATTTACCAATTTTCAGTTTTTTAGGCTGAGCTTAATGCTGCACTTCACTATCGGCGATGATCGTTGATCGTGTGATCGTTCATAATAGGCACGATCATCGTGCAAGCATCCACACGAGCGTCCGTGGTAGTTTGTCAAACCCGGCGATTCACTTTGATGCGTGTCCTAAAAACCGACAATTCACGGGTCGCAGGCGATCATAGACGATGATTGACGAGTACAGCCGACTATGCCCGATTGTAATCTCCGATTTTGAAGAAGAGCCATAATGTTCTCTGCTGTCAATATCTTCGTGGAAAAAATACAGTGAGCAGTACAATGAATATTTGTTATCAGCAATTCCGCTTTTACTGAAAGATGTGACACAGGTACCTATTGACTGCAATTTACAAGAAAACGACCAATCATAATTAAGACCAATGACTGTTGATGAAGTGTGTTAACCTGTCGAGGAGGATAAAAAATAAATTCAGCTGTGGTTCCAACAACAATAGTAAAACTTTCCATTGCAGTTTTAAAACATGTTTTGTGCTTACGTATTAATAATTCTTTTAGACCACTATTATTCCCAGAGAATTTGAAAATAGCTGTTATCAAACCAATTTTTAAAAAAGGCAATCCAGAGCAATTAGAAAATTATAGTCCAATCAATATTTTAACGGGTTTTTCAAAATTATTTGAGTTATAGGAGATTATTAGAATTTATGAATGGCTGTAATTTATTTAATACACATCAGCATGGATACCTACATGGGAGATCAACAGATACTGCAATCTTTCGATTTGTTCAAACAGTACTTAAGCAATTAGGGGACGGAAACTTAGCGGTTGGTTTCTACCTGGACTTGTCCAAAGCTTATGATTGCATTGACAGAGACATATTGTTATTAAAGCTACAAAGATATGGTGTGAGAGGAACTACGCTAGAATTGTTCAAGCCATACCTCTGTAATAGACAACAGAGGGTTGAAATTGTTAAAGGAGGTCAAACTTACAAGTCAAACTGTAATGTCTTAGTTGGTATCAATAATACCCGGAAGTATACTAATGGTTTATTATATATCATCGATAACTGTTACAAATCCGGAACCCCGACATACTGTGTGTTTAACGTATCCCGGTCACAGTACTCATCGTACATGCGCAATTTTCGGGGAACCAGGGGCGTACTTAATATACTACATTCATCTCCCCCGAAAATTGTTAACAGTGATCAGATGGGTAACAATAAAAAAAAGAAACAATTAATGAATGGTTAGTATTGGAGCCTATCCGGTACCTTACGGATACGTATGGGTCGTGTAAGTTCAGCCTGTTCACCAATGGAGCTAGAATCCGAGTCACTGACATCCACGCGTTCACTATCCGCGATTCCGGCATCCACAAACACATCATCAACCGAACTACCGGCAGAAGTATTGCTGGCGCCATCACTATTGGAAAAAACGTTTACAGTGTGCGGTAGCTCCACGCAGGGTGGGTAGACCAACGAATAATCATCATTTAGTTCTCTGATCTGATTAGTGTGTCTTTTCCAAAGGAAATTTGAATCTAGTGGTCGAACAACGTAAACGTTTTTCCCTAAAATTTTAACAACTTGTCCTTTACACCAAGTTACTTGTTTATCGCGATAATCTTTAACCAACACAATTTGGTCAATATTAAAACATACTTTCCTATTTCCTCTGAAGTATTTTGCGTTTCTTCGTTGAGAACGTTGTATGTTTTGGTAAACATTTTCAAGTTCAACTTTTTCATTGTCTTGGACTGAGCTTGGTCTAAGCATGTCAAATCGAGTTCTCAACGAACGACCTAAAAATACTTTAGCAGGAGAATAACCAGTAGAACAGTGAACAGTATTCCTATATGTCATAAGGAATTGAGCTAATAGTAAATTACAGTTCTTTTGATCACTAACCTTTTTCAAAAATTTTTTAACAGTTTTTACGCTATTCTCAGCTGCACCATTACAATGAGGTTCATAAGGCGGAATAGTTATTAGTTTAATACCATTAACATTTGCAAATTGTTTAAATTCTTCTGACACTAACTGGGGACCATTATCACTTGCAATAGTCTTAGGCAATCCAAATCTAGAAAAAAGTTCTCGCAGCTTTGTAATAGTCATGTTAGTGGTAACAGATGCCATCGGAAATACTTCAAGCCATTTGGATAAGGCATCAACGACAATCAAAAAGAAATTGTTTTTCTTCGGTTCAAAAAAATCTATATGTATCCGCGACCAAATGCCCTCGGGTATTTGCCAACATTGTAACGGTGCCTTGGCCGGCGATGATTGCAAGCGTTGACATATGTTGCACTGCTTACTAACACTTTCAATATCATCATTCAAGGACGGCCACCAAAAGTAAGATCTCGCAAGATACTTCATTTTAACAATTCCCAAATGGGTAGCATGCAACTCCTTCAATATCACCTCTCGTAACTGAAATGGTATGATAACTCGATGTCCCCAAAGCAGGACATCGTCTTCAACATTGATTTCATTTTTCCTACTGAAATAAGGTTTCAATTCATTACTTTTATGACTTGCAGGCCACCCCTTTTTAACAAAATTGAGTACCTCAGAAAGTACTGAATCTGAGGATGTAAGTTCTCTGACCTTGTTAACATCGACTGGTATACTAGAATCGGAATTAGTGAGATAATTTAAATGAATGGGGAAGTCGATCAGTTGCACAGACATGTCATCTTCAATCGGCATTCTGCTTAAGAAGTCAGCTACATTTTGAATGGATGACACATGCTTGATATCGAAATTGAAGCCACTCAGAAAATGTGCATATCTCTGCAGTCTATTTGCTGCCATCACTGGAACACCCGTTTTAGGTCCAAAAATTGACATGAGTGCCTTATTATCTGTGACCAAGGTAAATTTTCTACCCCACAAATATTGGTAAAATCGTTTAATACTCCAAACAATCGCGGTAGCTTCTTTATCCAAAATAGAGTATGCCAATTCGTTTTTCGAGAGAGTTCTTGACGCATAACAAATTGGCTTTTCGACATCATTTTCAAAAACATGAGATAAAATTGCTCCCACTCCATAGTCCGAGCTATCAATAGTCAAAGTAACTGGTAGGTCAGGATTATAATGCACCAACACATCGTCAGAACATAATGCAAGTTTAATATACTCAAATGAATCCTGACATGTTTTATCCCATGACCAACTTACATCTTTTTTCAAAAGATTATATAAAGGGTGAAGTATATCTGGGAGATTTCTGATGAAACGATTATAATAAGTGATACTGCCTAAAAAAGACTTAAGTTGAGTGACATTTTTTGGTGGAGAAATGTCGCGTATTGCCTTAACTCTTTCTAAACTTTTATGTAGGCCTGTCTCGTCTATAACAAACCCTAAATATGAAATGGAATCAGCCAAAAACACACACTTTTCTTTTCTAACAGTGAGACCACATTCGGAAAGACAAAGTAAAACCCTTTTCAAATTTCTAATATGATCTTCTTTATCGATACCTGTAACTAAAATATCATCAAGAAAAACACATACACGGGGCATTTTATTGAACAGCTGTTCCATAATTCTTTGAAATTGTGCTGGAGCGCAGTTTATTCCAAACGGCAATCTATTGAATTCGAATAAACCTTTGTGAGTCGAAATAGTCGTAAATTTTTTTGAAGAGTCCTCGAGCTCTATTTGATTGTAAGCCGATGAGAGATCAATTTTGGAAAATTGCTTTCCATTTTTCAGTTTTGTGAATAAATCGTCAATTCTAGGCAAGGGAAATTTGTCCACTAGAATAGCTGAATTAATAGTTACCTTATAATCACAACAAATTCTTATTCCTCCATCTTCCTTCAAAATTGGTACTATTGGGGTACCCCATTCAGAAAACTCCACTGGAGATATTATACCATTAGAGACTAATTTATCTAATTCCTCCTCCACTTTACCTTTAATTGCAAATGGTAACGGTCTAGGTTTATGGAAAATGGGACTTGCATCAAGTTTAATATTTATGGAGATCTTACACTTGTTGAACCTTCCCAAATTGGTTGCAAAAACGCCAGGAAACTCATTACATAGAGCATCAACAGCATCGTTGTTCAAATAATGAATTTCTCTAAATCCCATATTATAATTCCTAATAAAATCTCGACCTAGGAGCAATGGATTGTTACCATCAACAACAAAAAAGCGTAGGATGCTATCTTTGAAATTAAATTTAACATTTAAGTTGATTGTGCCATGTGGGATGATCTTATTGCCAGAAAAATTAATCAAGGAAACATTTGTTTTTTTCATGACGTGAGCACCAAAATATGTTTTGTAAACATGAAGTGGCAAAACACTAACAGCTGATCCACTGTCAAGTTCAAATTTCAACATGACATTCTCAACTAAAATATCGATATATAGTGGCACATCATTGTTGCTTCCTAAGCTAGAAATACTTAGAACTGGGGATGAAAAAACGTCTGTATAATCCTCAGCAATATCATTATTAGGAAAAACATAATTAACGTGCTTAGGTGAGGATTGTTTTTTCTTTTTACACACCACACTGAGATGACCCCTACCGTGACAAGAGTTACAAATATATTCCTTATAGGGGCATACATTACTGTTGTGGTTCCTCCCGCAGCGGAAACAGCCCGGAGAGCGACCAGACGATGTGAACGGCTGTAGCTGTGGCAGCGCCATGTTTGAGCTGTTGCCCCCACTCCTGCGCGTGCCTCCTTGGCTCCGCTGCGCTGCAGGTACTGCTGTCCCTCTATGATACCGTTGAGGATCTTGATGTTGATCGCCAGTGGCACCAACATTTGAATTATTTTGTGTAATTCGAAAAACATCGGATTCTAAGACCTCGCTTTTAACTTCACCAACTGGGTCTCTTATTACTAGCGTTGCTTCGATAATTTTGGCCTTTTCAACAGCGTTATTTAAGGTGGTGTTCTCGTTTAGGCTGAATAATTCAGTTCTCACCTTCCCAGGATTGAACTGCGTAACAAAAATGTCCGTTAGCTTGGACTCAAGCTGCTGACCAAAATTGCAATAGCGAGCTAAACCTTTAAGTCGTACACTCCATTCTAGTGCCGTCTCATTTCCTGATTTGGATGCACTATAAAACTTCTGCCTTTCGACCCATACAACAGCAGTTTTACCATAGTAGTTAGACAATAACTGAACTATGTCTTGGTATGGGGTTTCTTCCGGCTTTTGCGGCATACATAAATTTTCTAATAAAATATACGCCTCCTCAGACAAACTATACAGCAAATGAGCTCTCTTGTCAGCTTCTTCAGTGACCCCGTGTACTATAAAATACTGCTCTAACCTTTTGAAGAAAACTTCCCACTCGTTCTCCTTGGGATTGAATGTGAGCACGGGACCCGCTGCTGCAACTGCCATCTTTCTTGTGCACAGATTGGTTCACCAACAACTGGAGGTTTCAATACAAACGGGGAGTTTACACACACTTAACCTTACCCGGCGAGTTCTTTAATAACCCTCGTCGCCATGTAATGTCTTAGTTGGTATCAATAATACCCGGAAGTATACTAATGGTTTATTATATATCATCGATAACTGTTACAAATCCGGAACCCCGACATACTGTGTGTTTAACGTATCCCGGTCACAGTACTCATCGTACATGCGCAATTTTCGGGGAACCAGGGGCGTACTTAATATACTACACAAACATTGAGTTGACTTCAACCGGCATAGCACAGGGTAGTATACTTGGGCCCATTTTGAATCTATTTTTTTAAAACGATCTCTGTTTTGTTACTAGTGGTGATGAGAGCAAGCATACAATTATCTGCTATGCTGATGACACAAATTTAGTGGTGGGTGGGACGTAACTGCTAATGGGAATCCCTTATTCAGAAGCGTGAATACATGGTTTTCTGAGAACAAAACTAGTGCTGAATAAATCCAAAAGTGTTGCAACATTATTTAGAACTAAGCAGAGTAAAGTCGTTAAGCCACAATGTGTCAATATATATGATCATCAACTGCATTTGAGTGAAAGTGTAAAATTTTAAATTGGACAACACATGTATTCGAACTGCTGAAGAGGCTCAATCCCATATGTTATGGTTTTAATAATAATAATAATAATAATAATTTATTGGTACTATTACACAAAAATGTGTTTGCACAGGTCATTTAAAGTAGAACATAAAAGAGTAAGTAAAAGTAACAAACAATACGAAAATAAGACAAACGTAAAACACAAAGTGGCAATAAAAGGTAAAAAAAAACTTGTTAAAACTATTTTAAAATTTAGAGGAACAATAAAATAAGATGGTTAAAAAATTATGAAATACTAATCATTTTTTCATGTTTGTACTCAAATGTCCTTACACACGTCTGGAGAACGATAAAATATAATACAAAAATAACACATAAAGAAAACAAACGAAAACAAAGTAATAAATAGTCAACAATTATGGAACAAAGTCGGTAAAATCATTATTTAAAAACTCATCTATGCTGTAAAAAGCTTTCGTCACTAAATATCTTTTCACAGTTGCTTTAAAAATGGTTGAGTTGAGTGTTTGACAAAACTTGGGCAGCGCATTAAAAAATTTCACACCGAAATAATTACTTCCGTGTCTAGTTTTTGAAAGTCTTGTGTACTCTGGTATTAATTCATTGTTGAACCTTGTGTTATATTTGTGAATCTCTTTCGGAGTTCTGTAATCATCGTAATTATTTTTAACGTGGATCAGACATTCCAGTATATATATGCATGGCACAGTTAAAATTTTTAGGTCGATAAATGTCGTCTTGCAACACTGTCTGAAATATAAGTTTGCTATTATTCTCAAGCATCGTCTCTGAACAGCAAACACCTTCGATACATGACATGAATGTCCCCAAATCAGTATGCAGTATTGCAAGTTAGATTGGAAGTAAGCATAATAGGCTGTCATTAAAGTCGATTTTGTTACGTAGGTATTTAAACTACGTATCATATATGTTATTTTAGATAACTTCTTTGATAAAGAAGTGATGTGTGATTCCCAAGTTAAGCTTGCATCAATAATCACTCCAAGAAATTTCACGGGCTCTATTAAATCACTTCTATGTGGACGAGTACTGAGTAGAAGAGATTGAGTTTTAGCTATGTTGATTGACAAACTGTTGGCATTAAACCAGTTTTGAATGTTGTCAAAATGCTGCTGAGAATCGAGCAATACATGATCAAAGTTACTATTGGAGGATATTGATGTCGTGTCATCCGCAAATAATATATACTGATTGATGCTACAGTTTGGCAGATCATTGATGTAGATCAAAAAAAGAATCGGTCCCAAGACACTTCCTTGGGGAACTCCGTGCTTAATATGCACATTGTTGGATAAACAATTTTGAAAACTAACATACTGTCTTCTATCTGATAAATAAGACGCAATTAAGGACATGCTATTATTACTAAAACCATACAGAGACAACTTTTGAATCAAAATGTGATGTTGGACACAATCAAATGCTTTTGTAAGATCATAGAAGTTAGCGAGGGCAAACATGTTATCTTCCAGACATTTGTTGATGAAACTGATAAAATTGTTTATTGCTGTTTTCGTTGATCTGTTGGTACGGTATCCAAACTGGTTGTTACAGAATAAATTGTTACTTTCGAAGTATCCACATATCTGATTCTTCAGAAGAATTTCGAAAATTTTTGCTATAATTGGTATTATAGAGATGGGTCTGAAATTACATGGATCATTCTCACAGCCTTTCTTGAAGAGTGGCACAATCTTTGCAAGTTTTAATAAGGCAGGAAAGACATTATTTTCTATACACATGTTTATCAATTTTGTTATAGGATATACTAACAAGTTATTTAAGGTCTTCATAATTTTAACATCGATGTCATATGGATCTTTACTTTTAGAATTCTTTAAGCTTTTGATTGCGTCTCGAACATCATTGAATGAAACAGTTCGAAAGTTGAAATGTAGTGTATCACTAGTTTGTATAAAATCTTTGAAGTTCGACTGGGCAGCTGGAATTTCAGCGATAATGGTATCAGCAATGCTGACGAAGAAAGAGTTTAAATCATTCGCGCTGAGAGTAGACGAATGTGCTTTTGATGATTGCACACCATTGGATTTAATCACGTTCCACATAGCTGCTTGTTTATCTGACGCTCTACGTATAAATTTATCATGAGCATTTTTTTTCCTAATTCTGATTTCTGATCGGTACTTTGATTTGAAGACATTAATCTCCTTCTTTGATACTACTTGGGGATTATCTTTATTAATTTGTGTTATTAGTTCCAAAGTCTCTCTCATATGAGCCAATTCGTGATCAAACCAGTTGATTTTGTTGCGACAACCCTCTGATACTAACCTAGATTTGATTGGCAAGCACTCAGCGATATTATTTGTTAAGATGTTCATGAATCGTTCGAGTTTAGTGGTCAGTGGTAAACTAATATCAGACAAAAAGATCCAGTCGACTGTTTCAATTTTACTGTATAACTTGAAAAGACCTTCATCAGTGACAGGCCTGTAGTTTATTCTCTTCCTAACAGGTTTTAGAGTTTTCAAATTAAAATGAAATGCAATACCTAAATGGTCAGAAAAACATGTATCAAAGGCTTCTACAACTATGCTTGACATGTTTATATTGGTGAAAATATTATCTAGACAAGCATTCTGCCTAGTATTCACATTCACAGTCTGATACAGTCCAAAAGAAACACAAATATCACACATCACATTGGCATGCTTGTCGTGAGTGTTAAATTTAAAATTAAAATCACCAGATATGATTATATTTTGCTTATAGTCTAAAGTACTAAGTAGTATTTGAAGCTTATTATAGAATATATTGAAGTCTCCATTTGGTGATCTATATATGGTTAGAATTTGTGTGCCATCCAAACAGGTGACACCAGCAACCTCAAAGTGTAACTCCTCAGAAATGTTTAAAACTTTGTCACACAAAGGCTTAGCACTAAACTTATTATTGACATAAATACAAACACCACCGTGGATTTTGCTTGACCTGCAAAAACTAGACACATTCATATATTCACAAATATTCAGAGTATTAATCTCATCGCAAGTCAACCAATGCTCATTCAAACAAAGAAAGTCATAACTGTGCTGTTTTGCCACCAACTCAAGTTCATCAACCTTGTTTCTCAAACACTGTACGTTTAAATGTAAAAGTTTATACCGACAATCATTCGTGCGCACTTCACAGGCGCGAGCGTGTGATAAGGAATTTTTCGATACATTCTGTTTACCCGAATCATGTCTTACTAGGTGATTAGTATCGGATTCCCACTGGCCAGTAAAAAAGCACCAGTACTCTCACTGTTGCAATGCACTCGACGTTCCATTTTATAAATTGGAATTATTGGAGGCGATAACAAAACGTTTCTTTTGAGGGTAGAGCAGCTCGTCTGCACATGACTTCTTATGATGTTTGCCAGTGATTTGCGAAAACCATTCTTTACTACTAATAACTTCACTGAACAGTTAGGGTTATTTTTAATATAACTAGTTATTTTGTTTTCCAATAGAACTGCTAAGGCTTCATCTACAGGCTCGGACTTTAGAAGAATTACTAGATTTGTAAATTTACCCAGTGGTAATACATTTCTAAGAAAACTGTTCAATGTTTTGTGGTTGCTTATGTTTTTTGTGCTGAAAACAATAATTACATAGTCACTTTGTCCATGATCCATAGTTTGAGTGAAAATATTACTTGTGATATTTGCAGCCTCTGTGTTGGGCTTAACAATTC